CCCAGCTGAGGAGGAGCTGGGGGAGGCCGAGTCAGGAAGGGCGGCCCAGCACCCACACTGGAGCTCCAATGCCTCGGCCAACAACAACAGTGGCAGGCGGCACCCCCAGAGTCCTGGGACCCCCACTACTTCCGCAACTATGACTGCCCCCGCCCCATGCAGGCCCCAGGGATCTCTCCTGAGTCGAGCCACCTTCTGGCTCCAGAGGACCCTGGAGCACCTTTGGGAGGGCTGCAGGTGGCCTCCCCGGCTCAGGAGCCAGGTGGCTGCCTGGGCCTTCCTCTTGGGTGCCCTACCCAGGTCCTGGCACCTGCTGCCTGCCTGGTTACACCCCCTTGGACACAGGCTGCTCTAAGTGGGGGTGACGAGTCCCAGGCAGAGCCTAGGCTTGCCGCGGAAGCCGAGCACCCCACTGGGCCCCAGCTGCCTATTCCCTCTGCCCTCTCTCCTGCCCAGGAGGGGGCCCCCCTACCCTCAGCTGAGGCTGGAGCCCCTGACATCCTGCCTGCTTCACCCATGCCTGCCGCTGGCAGCCGGGCAGGTGCCACAGGGCCGGCCCAGACCCCTGATGGCGGTGGCTGTTCCCCTGAGCCGGAGGGGTCCAGCAGTGAGGACGGGGACACCACCCAGGCCACTTCACGTGTCTTCACTGACTTGTCTGGCGACAACCCGCAGGCCGAGGGGCTGGGTGCAGGGCCGGCCTTCCGTGCTCTGCAGGAGCAGGTGAGGACCCCCGACTGTCTGGACTCGCTGGACATCCCGTCCACAGCCAGCGATGGTGGCAGTGAGGTCTTCAGCCCGTCAGCCGATTGCACCTCCGCTGGGCAGCCCCGCGCCCTGGACAGCGGGTACGACACGGAGAACTATGAGTCCCCTGAGTTTGTTCTCAAGGACACACACGAGCCGTGCGAGCCTGAGGGATGTGGGGAGCTGGCCTCAGAGGGAGAGAGCCCCGGGCCCGAGACTCGGCCATGCGTCTCCCTAGGGGGCCTCAGCGAGAAGAACCCCTACCGAGACTCGGCCTACTTCTCAGACCTGGATGCCGAGGTCGAGCTCCCGGCTGCCCCAGGGACGTGTGCTGGGGGCCGGGCCTCAGGGCCAGAGCTGCAACCGCAGAGCCTGCAGAGCCGGGGGCCACAGTCCGTGCAGGCTGGCCTTGGCCACGAGGCGCCTGGGGAGGCATGGGGTGCTGGGCCCCAGGAGCTGCTGCTGGCTCTGCTGCCGCCCGAGGCGTCTACCCCCACGCAGCGTGCCGGCCCTGCCAGCCCCAGGCCAGAGCCCCCCAGGGCCCGAGACCCAGCCGAGATGCCGCCTGCGCCAGGTCCCGGCCCCTCCCACTTCTCCCTGCTGACTCCTGTAGCCCTGAGCTCAGAAGGCGACCACTCTGGGCTCCAGGAGGCCCCAGGACTGTCATCAGAGCCTGCCCCACAGGAGCAGTCGGGGGGCCCAGGGACTGCCAGAGACCCCGTGTGCCTGACCTTGCCAGGGCTCCCCACCGCCTTGGTGGGCCGGCCAGAGGGGGAGGGGGAAGACAGCGAGGACAGCGAGGAGTCGGATGAGGAGCTCCGCTGCTACAGCGTCCAGGAGCCGAGCGAGGGCAGCGAGGAGGAGGCGCCGGTGGTGCCCGTGGTGGTGGAGAGCCAGCGAGCACGCAGCCTGCGTGGCCTGCTCAAGGTGCCCAGCCTGCTGTCCCAGGCCTTCTGTGCGGACCTGGAGCGCAAGAAGAAGGTCGTGTCCTTCTTCGACGATGTCACCGTCTACCTCTTCGACCAGGTGGGCTGCCGCTGCCCCGGGTCTGTGGGGCTGAGGTGCCCCGCCCTGAGCAAGGGGTGGGAATGGCCAGCTCAGGGCTCAGCCTCGTGGTGCTCTGACCCCAGGAAAGCCCCACCCGCGAGCTTGGGGAGCCTTTCCCGGGAGCGAAGGAGTCGCCCCCCACGTTCCTGGCAGGGAGTCCGGGCTCCCCCAGTGCCCTCAGCCGGCCTCGGAGGGCTGCCAGCTCCCCCAGCAGCTCTGTGGGGGAGGAAGGTGAGCTGGGGACAGGCTGGACCGCCCGGGGCCAGGCCACGCCCGCCCCGGGGTGGGCGGGTAGGCGGGGCTCCCCGTGCCAGGACACCAGTGTTCACACGCCCGGTTGCAGGTGGTGGATTTGAATGGGATGATGACTTCCCACTGATGCCAGCCAAGGCGGCCTTCGCGACGGTGCTGGACCCAGCCTCGCCCTCTCTGGCCACAGCCCCCAAGCCAGCTGCACCCTTCTCACGCTTCACAGTGTCGCCCACACCGGCCTCCCGGTTCTCCGTCACGCACGTGTCCGACTCCGACGCCGAGTTGGCGGGAGGTGAGGCTGCCATGGGTCTGGAGCAGAGGGGCATGGCGTGGGTCCATGTTTCTGGCAGGTGGAAGGCTGGGTCCCGCCCGGGGCCGCACCGCTGCCCAAACCTGTCTCCTGTCCACAGAGCACAAGCTGCCCTCTGGCCTTTGGGCTACAGGGTCCTAGGCACACCCGCTCCCAGAACCTGGCAGGGACCTCTTCTCTCTGCCCCAGCACCCTGCCCTGAAACCTGCTGCAGCCTCCCCAGCAGCACCCAGCCCCCCGCTGCCCCTCACCTCACGGCCTGGCCATGCCTGCTGGTGCACACCTCCTAGCAGCCAGTTCTTAGCTCCCCTAGGGCGAGGGCCCATGGAGCTCAGTACTCGGGGACCTCAGCCTACCCTTCCCAGCCATGCCCGCTCCTCTGTCCATGTCAGCTCTGGCGGGGCTCAGCTCTGTTGTGTGTACCCCCTCATGCTTGTCCACAGACTCAACGAGCTCCTTCAGATCCACTAAGCTTTCATCACCTCACCTCCTCCAGGAGGCCTCCCTGGCATCACTCTTCCCCCACCAGTAGACCCAGCCCCTCCACCAGCTCCCTTGGCTTGTGTCAGCCTCGAAGCTAGAGGCCTGTCAGCCCAGCCTCTGACAGCGTGCCCTTGTGTGTCTGAACAGAAGCGCGTTGCCAGGAGGCCACCCCATGTCTCGCCCCTTCCTGTTTAGGCCTGGCTACCTATGGGCAGAGGGCTGTAGGGTGGGGCTGGGGCTGGGGCTGGGGCACGCGGTAGGGAGACACACGGGCCATCTTCCAGCTGGGCACACAGACCTACTG